ATCATTTAGTTCTTTTGAACTTTCCTACATGAAGGGCAGCCCTCACCCCAAACAACCCTAACTCATCAAATGTTACATACCCTGGCTTAAATTGTGTCCATATCTGAGATCATCAACGTGGTGTTTATTCTCACTCCTCGCCAAACATACACACACACTGTAATATTGTCAAGGAATGTCACAGAGACTCAACAAACATACATTTAATAAAGCATCACATTTTTAGAGATTCCTGGAACCCTTACAGTGATTACACAGAGGAAAGAGTTCTACAGAATTCTTGAGTTTTGATATACATGTCCCATCGTCAGGTTTAGAGCCCACAATGGTCATTTAGCAACTGTGAGACCATGAGAAAGTTCCACTTCCTAAGCCTGCTTGCTGAACCTCAAAGTAGATTTAATAATACTGACCTCTTTAGAGTCATGGTGAGGAAGGGATAAGTTTTATAAAGGTTTGTGTCCACAGGGGAAGATATAAAGCATACATAGATTATTTTTCTACCTTCATTTGCTGTTTTCTTCCTTCCTCCCTCTCCTAATCTCTTTCTCACATTGTTCTTTATTTTCTCCTTCCATTCCTTTCTTAAAAAGAAAAAATGCTTTCTTTTTCTTCTTTCCCTCTATTCCTTCCAACCCTTCATACTAGGAGTGGAAAACAACCCAAGAACTCTTCTTCAATGTGTTCCTCAGTAGCCTTCCAAAGTAGACACACATACACACACACCCTGCTTCTGTTCCTAACTTTTCAGAAGATTTGAACTGAACCATTAACTCATTCAACATATCTTGAAAAATACAGTTGCCTTTTAATTTTCATTGTTTTTTTTTCTGAAAAATTTTTCAGACCCATAATTTTTTTTAGTCATTTAAGAACGCTCTAAGAACCTTACCCATAGTAGAACCCTCCTTTGGGGCATTCACAACAGGAGCTACTTCTGGACAGGAGCTGTTCTCTTTTTCATTCTTTTGTGCCACATCAGAATGGATAGTTTAAATGTTTGTATGAAATCAGAACCTCCACTTGCATTCAGGTAGAGACTGCCATTGCTTTTGACATTAGAGAAATTTAACACAAGAGTTTTTCAGTATTATATTAATCCTAGCCCAGGTATAAGCTCTTATTTCATTGGGCAATGAAAAGGCATAAACATAATTCCTAATATTTTAGGATTGGAAAACTGAAGCAAATTGAGGCAACAGATTGGCTCATACTGAAATATAGTAGGAAAAACCTTAATGCCTGGAATATAGTAGATACTGGCTTTAATCGGGGTACTAGAGAAAATCAGCTGCACTGCACCATCTTAACCAAATTGGAGAGGCTTTGTTAATCTCACATAGCAAGAAATAAGTGATGGATTATCCAGAACTAGTACTGTGGCTTAATACCATCTTACTGATGTCTGTAGCAGTTCCAATAATTCTCTGTGATCTGGGTAGAAGGAGGGAGTAGAAGACACAGTGTTAAAAAAACTACTGCTTGTAACATTTAGCCAGAATGGGGTCCTATGGCTACCCTAGCTGTGATGGGGGCTGGGAATGAAGCAGTTTTACTACAGCCTCTGTAATAGGCTGACATAAAAGGCCGTTGTTGGAGTAGATAGTGAGCTCATCTATTGACAGTACCTACAACAAAAATAATGGGACATAAATAATTGAGAATAAATGAGATAACATTTGGAAAAAATGAGCTCTGCACGTGCTAGAGCTAAAAGATCACATATGCCTACTTTATTATTTTATCAGAAAGAAAAATTCTGATGAGTGGGTAGGAGATTCTTTCTAAGATCATTTAGAAAGTTCAAATCCCAGATAGAAACCTAGGTCAGCAAACTGTGGGCCACACCCCTTTTCCAGGACAATAGCAGCCACCTGCTGGTCACATATTTCTCTTTTATTATGGCAAGGTATTTCTGAGGTGGAAGAAGTAGGATATCAGAGCTGGTTCCATAAAAAGCCAAAAGAACTCCATCTCCCTTGTTACACTTATTACAGAGCTTTCTGCTTTGGCCATTAGAAAAAAGAAAGAATGAAATGAAAATAGTAGGACATATTGGAGTTCCGAAAATTAAGTCATTTCCAGTTTACTCAACTAATAACAAATTAAGTCAAGATTTTTTGTTTGTTTGTTTGTTTGTTTATTGAAGTGCTGGGGATTGAACCAAAGGGTTTTGCACATACTAGGCAAATGTGTACTGCTGAGTTATGCTCCCAGCCTCTCCCCTTTTGTTAAATTAAGGATTTAAATTCAAAAGTTTTGCAACACACAAACACTAAACAGCCAAAACATCCTTCCAAAAAACTACATTGTAGTTCAAAGAACATTACCATATATGAAACATAATCAGAGGATTTCTGTTACCTTGTTTTAATGTCAGTTAATCAGATTTTATAATTCACTTATTATTATTGAAACATCTGTTTTATTGTTATAGACCAATGTTATTTATTTAAACCTATTATTATTATCATCACTACCACCACCACCGTCATCATCATCATCATCATTTAACCAGGACTTATTCTTTTCTAAACAAACTGAAAGAGTGATGTCATACAAATAACCCCACATTGGACAACAACTATGCCTTTCACAGATGAAAGAAACTATTTATCTGTGGACTCTTAGCCTGAGTGTCCTATAGATCTAAGAGACTTGGATAGAAAAAGAATCTCCATTTATTTCCTCCCACTATTACTCCATTCCCATCTGATCAGCATTAGAGAGAGAAAAGTAGTCAAATTCATGCCTAAAGATGCCAAGTCCAAAATAGACTGACTATAGAGGTATGCCCTCTTAAACTGAAAAGCTTGTGTGCATTACTCTAGAACATGCCCTGATTAGCAGGGTTTTGGTGGGACCTTACATTTTGTGTTTCTGTTAAGTTCCTAGATGATGCTGATGCTCCTGGTCCTCAGACCACTTAAGGATTCCAGTTTTTCTCTCTCATCATATCTGAGTAACAAGTGCCTAATCTACCACTGCTACAGCCGGGGATCTTATCCAGGACTGACTCATGAGAGAAAACTCCTTGATCTCCCATTGGATGTGTTATTATTAAACCTGCTGAATGGGTCCAGTTTGTTATCATTCTTTTAGTAAAATGATAACACTGAAATTAACATGAGGGCCACTGGCAAAGGAAAGGACATGTTCATTAGATAGTAAGCCAGAAGAAAAATCATCAGCAAGTGTTAGAGAGATCACCACAAGTGCCCAGAGCTCTGTTAGTGGGCCTGGCCTGAAGATTTCCTGAAGGAAAAACCCAGACGTGGTGCCCTCTTCCACTGCCAACCTACAGGTACACAACAGCAGTATAATACACTCTTCTTTCCAGTGGTCCCTATCTAGTCAAGATGGTTACTTCACTCTTACTTCAGGCAGATATCTGTCCCCTACCATGTGATTTTGTTCACTTGAATCCTTAATCTTCTAGTCCTGATCTTATCTACATCTCTTCCACCCTGAGGGAGATTCCACTATTTGCAAGAAGTCCTAAGTTCCTAAACAGTTTACTATTAGATCCTCAAAACTATCACAGAGCTGCAAAGTCAGTTCCTGCTACAGGTTTGTGAAATCAATGAACAGTGAATTAATGACAAGAATGAGCCATGCTCTGACACCCACAACATGTGAACCAATTGACTCTTCATTCTCTCCTCATCCTGGCAAAGTGTTTCACTAAATTGAAGAAAATAGAAATAATTTTAAAAGCAAGATGGATTCTGTATAACTTTTCCACAAGTATCCCTGGAATGAATAAAAGTTAAAGGACCCTGCCAAGAAGCTCTGGCACTAACATTTACAAAGCCTCTAACATTGATAGATTTGTTCCCTTTGTTTGAGGCATTATATCAAACCATGAACATTGTTTCATTCAACTCCTTTAAGAATCCTAGGAGACAGGTGCTATTACACCATTAGTATGCTTGAAGGAATCTGTAGGTCATACAGAACTCATTGCAATTAGAACACAGATTCCAAAACAGGGCCGTTTACACACATGCTCTGTGTGCTTTATCAGTGAGTCTTATCCACTGCTTTCTGTCCCCCCAGCATCCCACATGCAAACTGCATTACCCTTATAGATAGATAATACTCCAAAGGGAAATGAAGAAAGGAGGGAAGAAATGAATGGATAGCTTTCTAGAAGGCTTGTGTACAAGTGATACCATACAATTTAATATCCCAATAAAAGCATCTGTCCCATTCACTTTGGGGTTTCAACAGAAGTTGAAATTTCTGTCCACTTAATCATCAGGTTCTAATGTATCCCCCAAGAGTTTTCAGACCTGGCAGCTGTATGCAAATAACCAAAGGGGTATTTTATCCTGCCAGGGAATTTGATGCCTCTTCTGAGGAGATTGAAGATAGCCAATACCATGTCTGAATCAACACCAAAAGAGATAGTGAAATCAGTAAAGATGAAGCAATTCTGACATTCTCAGAGGTCTTTAATACTTGTCTCTGGAAGCCTGGCTGGAGGCTGCAGGCTGGAGGCTGAATAAAACAGCAGTCCCAGGATGCAGTTCTCACCATAGCCTTTGCTCTTCTGTTGTCTGTTCAGGCAATGCTCTTCCTCTGCATTCCCACCAGGATCTGATTGACTTCTCTCTGCACTGTGGTACACCATCCAGTCTCACCTCATCCAAAACCCTTCCAGGATCTAAAAGAAGCCCCTCTGTTGCTTTATTCCATCCTACAATCTTGTTTTATATTTTTTCTTCAAGGCAGTAATTATCCCCTGAAATATTAAGTAAGCATTGATATATAAATCCTATCTCCCCTACCCTAGAATCTCAGATCTTGGAAGCAGATCTGTGTCACTGTTGATCCCTTCTAAATTCCCGAACCCAGATTAGTGGTTAGTGTGTATGGGATGCTTCCCAACTATCCACTAAATAAATGAATTCATCAGCATCAAACATCTTAAGCAAGTTGCCAACCATCCTACCTTTGTGCTGTATCTCAACAAGATCAACGACCACCGCACCCACCTACTGAAGGTAACACTATCGTACTTCTGTCCAAGAAGCATCTGGCTTCCTTCCAGACAGACCTTGCTTCTTCCCTCCACCTCATCTCATCTTGAATTTAAGATGGTATCCATCTCTCCAGGACCATCAGCATTTTCATGGGGTAGATTAGATTTAAGGAAATGTTCTGATATGCACAAAAGTGTGCATTAGGAGTGGGGAAGGATCTTCCTTCCTTCTCTGGGTGATGGCATAAGATCTTTATTAGGTCAGCGCCTCGCATGAACCACAAGCTTCTTAGGGAGCTTATCTGCCCAGCTCATCCTGTCACCCTTCGACTTAGTGCCACTCAGTAATGATGTGTTCTGGCTGTCATCACTGTCGTCCCTGTGCAGTAAGAGCAGCTGCCTCCTTCCGCCTTCAGTGTGTGGAGTCCACTCAGCATCCTCACTTGGAATTGTCTGGTAATTGCTTCTGAGAACCCAGGAAGGACTCACCCCTCCTGACTTCCAGATGGACCTGGCATGAGAGTTAGTAACAAATACTACTTCTGATTTTCATGTGAGGACAAACTTGATATCACAACCACCACCACAATCTGGTTGCATCGTTTGGGAAAGGTTGTGAGATTTATATACTTGTATAGTCGAAACCACTTTCACACAATGAGATGCTGACCTCCCCCAAATCTCTTTTATCCTACAATAGATCTTGTTTTAAAGGTACCTGCCCATTTATTGTAGATGACAGACTAATAAAATGAAGTCATTTTAATAAACGCCGTATCAGAATATCCCATCTTCTAATGTGGCAATGTGAAATTTCACCACTGGAGGAAGCATTTAACATTCTGACTATTTTAATACTTTTAATAAATATTTGCAATTCCTATGATAAAGCATCCCAGTAGAAAATGCATTTCCTCCGAAATTTATGTGGCTGCTGGCAGGTGGCCATTTTCTAATTTTCTGTCTCACTTACATACATTTATTACAGATTTCTAAGTACCCCTTTTTGCTCTTTGGCTACAAGCATGCTGTTTCTTCGGAGTAGGAATGTGTGTGGTTAAAACTGAGGGTGGTAAACAAGAGCTTCTGGTTTGCAAATTTGAGGGTTGGTCCTATCCCCTTGGGGGGTCCTTCAACATCTATTTTATTCAACCCTACAATACATTTTGCAACCAATCTTCATGATCTCCATGGAACTTGAGAATCCTCTCTCAGTTCCACAATGCTGTGAAAGGCTGGGGGCAGGCATATTTTGATCTATTAAGCCTTGAGCTTACTAATGGAATGCTGCAGAATTTGTGAAATATTTCTTAGAGTAATAAGATTTAGGGAGAGAGAGAGTAATATCCAGGTTAAGTAAACTATATTTCAAGTTCAAAGCAAAGGGTGTTAAGAAATTTCTGTCGTAAATCTTCTTGTAGAATTTTTAAAAAAATAACTTCTTAAAGTGTATCATCAACTGTTATTGTGTATTTCCGACCTTGGTTAGACATGATGTAAAATTAGTAAATGAACCTCAAATACCCTGGTACTTCCTGTTTTCTTCCTTATGACATGTTCAAAATCTGCATGCTTGATTGCTCTTAAAGTTATGGTCCAACCAGAAGAGAAATCAGAGTCTTTTTCAGGCATTGCCTTTCTATGCTACCCCAAGGCCTTCTGGGCCTGTATGTTCAATGTCTCTTCAGTCATTTTATTCCTTCAAGTCCCACTGACACTGTCCTGGAATATTTACTAATTATCACTAATGAGCACAGTCATTCATGAATCATTTCATCAAAGCATTATCTCATCTAAGCCATCTGACCACCCATGAGCCAGATAATATCATCCCCAATTACAGACAAAAGGAGAGACAGAAAGTCACAGTGTTTTGTTCCAGGTCACCACTGAGGAAGTCTTAGCGCTGGGATATGAAACCTGACAGTCTGACTCCAGAAATGAGACTGAACCATGAGGCTCTTCACCAGCAGGGATTATAAAAACTTGGTTACTCTTCTTCCGGCTTCTTCATCTCATCTTGGCTGTTCCTCATCCCATTTCTGTCACAGCCTGCTTACAAAACTATGTGCTCATATTACAACCCACAAAACCTCTGGTGGCAACTCTATGCCCACCATTTATTCACGTGGCCATTTGTTTATCATTGATTGCTTTATTTCATTCACTCAACAAATATTTGCAGGCCACACGTAATGTATCAGGTGGAGTCTAGCACTGAGGTTGTGGTAAAGATGAAAATCATCCTAAGTCTTGTCCAGTGGATAACAGGTGTGGAGATAATGATATAAATAAACTAGAGTAGTGGTGAGTGGTGTGGAGAAAGATAAAGCAGAGGAAAAGGTAGGAATGGAAGATATATTTAGACAAGATAATTAGGAAAAGGCTCTACAATGAATAACATTTATATGTAGACCCAAGCAACGGGAGGGAGGATGATTCTAGGCCAAGAAAGTGGCTAATTCATCATGGAAGAAGGATAGCCAGTCCAGGGTGCTTAAAGCAGGGCTATGCTGAGCCTGCTCAGGAGTAGCACGGTGGCCAGGATACCTGGAGGAGGAGACAGTCCTGAGACCACACAGACTTGGAAGCCTAATAGACCATATTTGGAGTGATATTGCTCTCCCTTTCACTTATGTCTCTATATTTCAAACATTTTCTGAAAATAGGTTTTTCTTGTCAACAATGCACTCCTTGGTAAATCCAAAATGGAGCATTCTTCTAGCCACTTCTCAACATGATGAAGACTAAGGCCCTTCTTTGTCTTCTAAAACCTTTACATCCCTAAGGCCTCTCCAATGCCACTGCCTGAGTCAATGTTGCTCTTATGGCTGGCCTTGCTACAGCTCCCTCCTCCTCCTCCAGTGGAAGAGGCCTCCTATGGGAAACTTGGGGTCAGGCAACCTCAGATCAAACCTCATCACACACCTCAGGGATGGCGTTCCCTGGAGTTAGTGAAGACATTTTTCCAAATTTCAGTTTGGGCTTGCTGATTTGAAATACAGTACTATAGGAACAAACTCTTACAATTTACAGTGGAATAAATTACGAAGATAATGTGAAATTATCTTCACAGATAGTGAAAATACAATAAGTTCAGTTTTAAATCTTTTAAAGGGATGTCATATCCCATTTTCCTTCTGATGACCCTAGTGATATGCCCTAGTATTATGAGTCCACCCCCTTGCTTTCCTGGAGTAGAATACAAGCATCTTGAAAGCAAGAACCATATACAGTTCATCTTAGTTGTTCCTTCAGTAAATGCTAATAAAATGATTTGAAAGAACCTTTTAACCTAAATCACTAGTTTATATACTTCATTTAAAACAATTAGGATACAAATGAGTGAAGAATTTTGAAAAATCTAAACATAAATAATTTTTTTTCCTTATAGCCATATTGAAATAATTTAGGTTTAGAAAATTTAACACATGGAAAGTATCTCTATGACCTGAGGCAGGGGTTGGGGGGCAGGGAAGAATTTTTCAATGCAACATAAAAAGTAATAAATTTAGAGAAAACTTGACAACTTCAATTAAGATTATTCAATTCTTAATAATCAAATTAAGATTTAAAATTTTGGTCCTTCGAGTGTGAGTAAAATGGCAAGATACAAATTAAAAGAAGATATTTGCAATATTTTATAGGAAAGATTTTGTGTCTAAAATGTGTATAAATTGACTATTAACAAACTTTAAAAGACACAAGCATACAGAAAAATAAGTGAAATAGGATAAATTAGAAATTTTATAGCAAATAAGACAAATTCAGAAATTATAGAAATTTTAGCTTTTATGTCTTCGGAGATGTGTGCATGGATCTTCACAGAAACATTGATTATCAGAGCAAAAACCTGGGAACAACCCTAATGTTTTCCAACTGGATCATTAAGTATTATGGAGTGAATTTTATCCACCCAAATCCATTCACTGAAGCCCAAACACTCAATGTGACTGCATTTGGATGCCTTTAAGAAGGTAAGACCAATGTTCTTATAAGAAGTAGAATAAGTTGTGCACAGAAGAAAGGGCACGCAAGAGCTGGGAAGAAGGCAGTTGTCTGCAAGGTAGGAAAAGAGACCTCACCAGGAACCAGGCCTCTCTGTACCTGGATCTTGCACTTCTAGCTGCCAGCTTGTGAGAAAATAAATTTCCGTTTTTTGAAGCAACTTAATTTGTGGTATTTTGTCATGGAAGCCCTAGAAGATAATTTCATACATAAATCATTTATGGTGTATACCTTTATTTTATATCTATCTATCTATCTATCTATCTATCTATCTATCTATATATATATATACACATATACAAACACATACACATACATACATAATAGAACAATGAATAAACAGTGAATAAAAAACAGCTATACCCAACAAGGGAATGAATCTTAGAAAATTTACTGATAAAATAAGGTTATAAGAGACTATATTCAATACTACACAATTTGTATAGACCTTAAAAACAAACAAACAAACAAACAAACAAAATATATATATTATATAGTATTTGGGGATATATTCATATGGACGGAGACTTTAAAAAAAACAGAATTATGAATGTAAAATTCAGCATGCTGGGAAGACTGGGAAACAAGATAATGAAGATTCTCATGCAGAAGCCATGAAATTAGAAATGTTCTATTTTTTAAGTCAGATAATGAGTTTATAAATATTCATTGTGTTATTATGTTCCAAATTTGTTTATAGAGAAAATGATATTGTTCTTAAGAACCGACTGTTATTTAAAAGATACCTAAGAAACGGTGAGGTTTTATTTTTGTTTTTGTTTTTTATAGTGGGGGTGACCTTTCCCCCATAGGCAATTGTTTTTGGCCATTGGGTCTGCTATAACAAAACATCAAAAACTAGGCGACTTAAAACAACCAAAATTTATTTCTCATGGTATCAGAGGCTGGGATGTTCAAGATCAAGTTTCAGTGTCTTGTGAGACTCTGCTTTATGTTTCATAGGTGAAGTCTTGTCATTGTGTCTTTACCTGTAAAAGAGGCAAGGGACCTTTCCCAACCTCTTCTGGAGAGGGAAAATCCCATGAAATTAATGTGTAGAAAATTAATTATGATGAAAGCACCATCCCTGTGATCTCATCGACATCCAGTGGTCCCCCCTTTTCATATTATCACCATGGTGATTAGGATGTAACATATATATTTTGCGGAGGACACTCAAACATTTCAAGACCATAGCAGTAAACATGGC